AGCAGTGTTAATGGGGTGTGTTGACCATTGGATTTATTGACATGTCACAGACTTGGATGCTCGCTGTCTGAATCCCTGTGCATGACAGAGGGAACAGAGGTTGAACAATGGTGATAGTGAAACCTAATGTAGAAGGGAATATTTCAACTTCATTTTCTCTCAGTTGTAATTTCCTTTTCTTCATTCAAGTTTCAAAACTTCAACTTGTTTCTCATCATCAACTTGATCTCTTTTCATTTCTCTTGTTGCAGACATTCAGGTGTGAACTCATTTCATATCTTTTGTTTCAGTCATTCTCTGTTGTCCAGAGATCTCTCATTCATCTCATTTGTGTTCTTTTCAGATCTGCTGTATTTTCTGCTCACTTTCTCATCTATAGATGGGCCCCGTCACATCTGGATACCCATGCGGATTTGGATATCTGCTTGCTTTTTCAGTGGAATCAGACATCCGCATCCGCATCTGCATCCACTGGTGGTGTAAGAATCAAAAAGTGGTTATAAGACCCTTTTTGCTGAATGGAGAAGGGGATGGTGGAGGTGAAAGCTCTGCCCTTCTATACTATCAGATAACAAGAACCACCAAGCTCAGCTTGGCAAGTTTTAATCAAGTGATAGGGTAAGTTCAGGAATGAGTTTGTGTGATGCTGAGAAAGAGTTTAGTTGTTATTGGTGTTTGATAAGGTTCTGTAAAGGTGGTGTATCTTTGATTGAGTGTTACTAAACTGTGACAGATGAATAATACACTGAGGAGACAAAAACTGGGAGGAGAGCCTCCTTATATAGAAAATAGTGAGGGAATTTAGCTCCAGGGAAGCCAGTAATGAGTGATTTTGGCTGGCCTGGGCTATTACATGAGGGTTTTTAGCTACATACATAAGTTGAATGAGTGAATGTGATTGGTCAGACATGGACAAGAGTTCAAGTGGTGATCCAAACAGTTGAAAGAGTGATTCTGATTGGTCAGGTTCTGATGTGTTTACAAGTGAGTGTGGTGGTGTAAGCTGCAGCTGTCATGCAAGGAAAATACACTAATTTAGGATGCAGGTATGATGCAATATGTAGAAGTGAAATGTAAGGAGTGTAGCTGTATGTAAATGAGTGTATATTTAAATGAGGTTGTACTGTACTGAGGGTGTCTGTGTAGCTTGAGGGTTGTACTTGGGATGGATGACATGTAATGATGGGTGAAATCCTTATGACATGTTGTGCAATGTGGGGTCAGAGTTGATCCAGGTGTGTTCCAGTGACGCCTCCATGGTGACCAAGGGTGAGTTCATCCGTAGAGTCCAGTTCCTGAGCCGTATGGTGTGATTTCTGAGAGAGATTAGGTGATAATATGAAGAAAAATATGTATAAGAAAAAGAAATAAAAAAAACTTTGAATTTTCACATTTTTGACTACCACACCGGTGTGCGTTAGTAGCTTCAGTATCTTAGTAACTTTCAAAGTCTTACAGAATTTATTGATTTATGGTAGCTGGTGAGAGCAGGTTACATCCCCCTCATCTGTGGATTCCTTCCTATCAGGTGTGGCCCCCCAGTTTGGGAATACCTGACAGCATCAAGTCTCACATAAAAACAAAGATGTTTTATGGATGTATTTCTGCTTCATTCACAACCAATCCCCACTGAAAAGCCCATCTCCCCTGCACCATAAATTTGTAATAAACTGCAATCAAAAAACCCAGAAAATCCATCAGCTCTTCCAAGGGTGTTTCTTCAATTACCTCTTGCTGGTTGAAAGACAATCAGGTTTTTTTTTGCTTTACCTAAATCATGAGAAATCAATGCTCACTTGATGGCAGGTCACATTGGACTAAGCTCAGAATGCTACCCACTATCTACCCAGCCCAACTCTAGTTCATCCCCCCTGTAGCACACAAAGGGGAAATTGTAGTTGGATTGCCGTAGAGCTGGAGCTATAATTGAGTTGTATTCAATGTTACATAATTTAACCTGTCATTTGGTGAGCATGGTATTTTCCTGGTGCTACCACATCATGCTATTTTCAAGATATCAATCAGTGATCATTGTGTCAATGATAGCTTTTGGATTTGCAGCTGCTGTGTATTTAACATACAGCCATAAAGAGAAGTGCACATTCACTTGCAAAAACAACTCACTGTACAAAGTAGGAGGGTGAATCAAACCAATGGAGCGGGACAGACAGGGAGTTCCAATCAAACTCAAATGTCAGTCTCAAACTTAATTTTGTTATGATCACATCTATGTTTCAAATAAATTGAGTGGGAGCCTTCAACTTAAATAAAAACTCCTACAATCTGTTCCATTTTTTTCTTATCAACAGTGGTCAAAGCACATCCAACAGAAAATAATCCAGCGTATTTCAATTGTAATGGGAGTGGAATGGCTTACAGCACCTGCTTTTTGCCAAATAAGCTCAAGGATGAGCTGATTAACTAGAGTTTCATATACATAATATCTTCTCCGCTCATTCCTTCACAAAAGCACAAAAGAATTGACCCAGATTTCTCCCCCAAACACCACTCCCAATCAATAATAGATGTTGATCATCATAAGGGCAACCCTCATGCATACAACAACACTTGTTTTGACACCAATCTACAGAGAATGTGTGTTGAGATTTTCCAAAAGGATTTCAAGCCTAATAAAAAAATGACTGATAATTAATAGCCCATCTCAAACGCACTCAACATTTGTCATCAAATTTGGGCTCAAGTATCCTTTCTTGCTCTTCAGATCCTGTCCCAAATTTAAAATACAATTGAAATATTTGCCACAAAAATATGTGAAATGAGTGCATGTTAGTTTTCAATGAGGAAAGTGTCCATTGGATGCAATCATAGGGTCTGATGGATGCTCTGGCAAGCAAGCATCACTTGGATGCTTCCAAAAGCGTACAAGTGATGCTTGCCCAAGACAAGCATCCAATGGAAGCTAAAAATCATCTCTGGTGGAGAGTGTCCAATGGAAAATGATTTTAGTGCATCCATTGGACACTTGGGAGTTCAAGTGCTTAATTGGAGCTGGTGGTTGATTGTCAAAAAAGCCCCAAAAGTTAACATTTCAGGTCACAAAAAAGAAATGACACTACAGGCATACAGGTGTTGCTGCACGTTGCAGCATCACCCTGTAATTAAAGGTGCGTGTGACTACGCAAGTAGGTGCAGTCACTGCAGATGAATCCCCACTTCAACAAAAGGGTGACACTGCAGCCCGCAGTGATACCCGTTTGTCTGTAGTGTAGTTGGCAGGGAAGAGGTTAATTAGAGAGGACTGGCTTCAGCACAGGAAAAAGGTTGCCAGTTCAAATCCTGAGTGCCTCATTTTTTATCTGTCACTTCAAGGACCCTGCAAAGGACCCAGTGGCCAGCTTTGTGGAAACAATCCACAAATTTTCAGGCAGAGTAGCAAAAATGGGCCGCTACACTAACCGTAGCAGTTAGCGCAGCTTAACGTTAACATTTAGCATAGCACAGCGTAATTCTGCCACAACTACACTAAGGCTAAGCGTGTGGGTGGCAAAAAAAGAGCCCACTATGCTGCGCTACAGCACATTACCGGTTTTTGGGCCTTTTTTGCCCCTAAAAGCGGTGTAGCACAGCGTAGTGTAGTGGCACTAACAGCAATCTCGCACTAAAGTTTTGGTGCACTGTTTTGAGGGCCACTACACTAAAATTAGTGGGCTGTGTAGCATAGTGGCCCATCATTGAGAGTATGTAGTGTCCAATGGACACTCTGTACCCTGCAAGTGCTGGAAAGTTCAGATGCTGTCCAGAATGGTGTCAGCAGTGGGCCGCTACGCTTTTGGCCCAAAAAGTGTAGCGTAGTGGCGCTTTTTTTCATCAAAAATGTGTAGTGTTAGCGGTTTTTTAGCGGTTTTTCGCTGCGCTACGCTGCACTACAGCGCTTTTAGCTCTTTTAGCGGAAAAAGCGGCCAAAAACCGCTAAAAAGCGCTATAGCGCAGCGTAGTGGGCCCTTTTTTGCGGCCCACACGCATAGCGTTAGTGTTTTCGTGGCGCAATTCCGCTACGCTACGCTTAGCGCTAACAGCAATTCCGCTGTGTTACGCTACACTAACGGCTACGGTTAGTGTAGTGCCCACGGTTGATGGTGTCCATGGGAGATCAGATTTGTCCGGTGATGTACCTGTATTCCAATTGGCTTTCCCATAGAATTGTGTCTTCCCCATCTAGAACACTGATTCTTTGAATTTCTTCTGTTGCTACAAATGTAGCTGTCCCCTTGTAAGAATTGAAGCTTGCAGGATGTGTGGCATTCTGCAATTAATGGGGAGCTTCTTGCAGGTACAAGGTCACCCCAGGTTTGAGAGGCTTAATTATTGAGCTAAGTCTGAATGTGTATATGATTTTAAATTAAATGCCATCTGTGGGATTAGCAATATATTTAGGAGGCCTCTGTGATTAAGTCTTTTATGAGATAAGAACTAAAATTATTAGCACTAATCATCAATATCAATGACCATGCTATGTATGTTATGACTGTATTTCTGCTACTTACTGATCAAAATTCTAATGAATATTCTAGTTCTCTCAACTGAAATATGATAAAACATGTGACTTGGATTCTTTGAAACTTAGAAGGGAAGTTGAGAATTATAGATTCCAATGATTTTGGATATTTGGTTATAATTGGGAAGTTGACCTGAGAGTCAAGATTTTGAATTTTAAATTAAAATGGGATTAAAAACTAATAATGTGTAACTTGTAAGAAATAATGAATGTAACACAAGCTTAAATACAATGAATTAAGCATTCCAAATAAAACATCAGAATTTATAAGGTTATTTCTCTTGTACATACAATTTTAATTCATTTCACTCATCTTTCTTGAGGAATCTTGAGTCTTTAAACTGGTACCAGGTTTTACGCAGTTGAAGGGAAACATGAGCAGACTGAGAACGTGTGAATTTTTTTTGCTGAGTCAAAGATTTATACAGAAGTATCTGAGAGGGATTGAGCCTCTTATGAGGGTTTTCTTCTGTTAGTGGCAATTTTAGTTGTGCCCAACCCAGGAGAGGAAGATGATCCTGAATATCAGTGAAGATCAAATCATAAAACCATTCCATTAGATCCTGGTGATCTTGATTAGTAAGATTTCCTGGTTCTTCTTCATCCTGTCTGTCTAAGGTGAGATAGTGATTGAAATTATTTAAGGTCAGTGCAATCCGCTTGATTCTTCCCACCAAACGATTTGCTTTATTGTGTGCCAACTTGGTTTCAGATTGCAATGGAATCTTGATGTAGACATTGTGATGTGCCTTCTTCCCATCTTGATCCAGTAATCCAAGTTGAGGACTCCAGACATGAATAATAATGTCTCTGTCTGAAACTTCTGGATCAGGTTGCTGTAAAAGATTTCCCAATTTGAACTTGGTTTTTGGATTGATTCTAATCTTATACAATTCTTTCAAAACATCCATTTTCATCTTTATCTTCTTTTGAATAGATTTGGCTATTTGTTTATCTTCAGCATTCTGCCGCCAAGACAAGTTTTGGGTACGTTTAACCATTCCAGCTAGTTTCTTATTTGCTCTGAACTTGTCCAACTCCTTGTAACTTGCCCCAACAGTTTTCTGCACTGGCTTTTTGACTGTCACTTTTTCCTCAATTATACCAGGTTTGAATGTTTTTCCAATCAACCTAGTCTCAACTTCAATGGACTGTTGATTTCTTTGGTTTTCATTTTTATCTTTCTGTGGAATGACACTATGAATTTCATCAGGCAAATGTGCCCGGTTAAATTGTTGAAAACCCTTCATCAATTGCGCTGTTGATTGGTCTGCTTTGAAACTCTCAAAATTTCTGAAAATTGTACCAGTTTTGTCTTTGACAATTTGATGGCTTTCTTGATCTCCAATTATATCTTTCTGAGTGATTAGATGTTCAAGATCATGAGGTTTATCAGTATTCTCAGACAGTTGGACTTGGTTGATTGGTTGACAAGTATTCAACAATGCCGCTCTTGATCCCCAAATCCCAAGGCTTTCTCCTAGATCATTGGGAGCCAAAGTTTTTGATCAGTTTAGGGGAAGATCAATCTTGTCAGAAATCATTTCCAAATTAATTTTAGTATGATTCAAGCTAATTACCTGGCTTCCTATGACCACGTAGCTTGGTTTTCACAGTTGGCAGGGGTTGATGTGCAGCTTGTCGATCCGATGTCACTCCTCCTTGCCATCCAAGGTCCTTCATCAAAGGTAATGAGGCTTGAAAGGGATTGGTTGCGTGATAGATACCTACGTCAGGAACTTTTTGAAGATCGAATGGGTTGATCGGGTCGTGAGCAGCTCATCAGCAACAGACAACATATTCTGCGAGCTGATGGATCAGATTCAAGCTGACCTTTGTCCTTCGGCTCCCAAGTGTCGGAGCTACGAGTTGACCTTGATCCAGTGCTTGTTGAAGTTGAACCACCGGAAAGGTCAGGAAAATAGTCGTCAAAGAATTCTACAGAATGAGTTCACATATCAATTACCACCTATGACTACCATAGCATAATGCACTAAGCACCTCGGGCTTACCAATTGCATTAGAGTTTTCTGAACCTAAGTTTATAGAATTAGCGTGTTGGTCGGATAGTCGGGGCCTTTTTGAAGGCGATAAGAAATCGTAATCCGTAATATCATCAAGGTCATCGAATATCTCTGGATCCATGTCGCGATCGGTAGAATGACTTATTGGCAACATCCCATCAGTAGCCGCGGTAATCCAGAATCGCAAGTACCAAAGAACAAAGCCCAATAAGGGCATTCGTAGCCGTCTCAATGATATTGTGCGCATTTCTTCAGGAACTTGTATCCTGGATCTAATCTTGGTTGTAAGGACAAATGTTGTGAAGTACGAAATTACCAGATTGGTGTCCATCAATTGCTGCCTCAGCTTGCAACATTGGAATGATGAATGATATGATTTGCATTCACCATAGTTGAATAGCTCTTACTGGTCTCAGCGAATCAACATTGTAAATCTTGTGAGACTCAAATAGTTGCCGTCGTTTTCGTAGGATACAAGGAGAATCTCCTTACAGGCGCACTTACTCTGTCAGTGAAAAGCCACAGGTCAGATGATCCAAAAGTGTGGTTTGAGACTGAGGAACGATCAGGTTCATACAGATTTTTGGTTGGAGTGTTGGAACCATAAACTGGTGAGACTCCACATCCTGATGAACAAGCTCGTTGATTGCCAACTTACTTCCGTCATACAAATCCTGAGTCTTGTATGTATCGATGATAAGTATATTTCAACATCCGTGTCAAATTCTGAAGCTTCGACGACCGATTCATCAGATGACTTGTCTGATTGAGCGGGGATCAGGCTTCTGCCGACGGCCCTGAGGTGGGGAAGAGCATTTCCAGTTGTGCCTTGACCCTCAAAGCCGCAATCTGCAGAAGCTTATCCTTGGATCCGCTCCGGTTTCTATTCCTCGCCGGGATCTGTGACTCATGGAATCGAGCGCGCGGGGGTTTGGTTATGATTAGCTCGTGCTGTTAAATATTTGAAGCTCGGAGTCGTTCGGCGCTTCTGATCAATGTCAAAGCCGGCAAACCGGCACGTCTGTGGGCGAATCGCGATCACGCTTGGCTGTCAGGCCATCATGAACTGTTTGTATCTTGGTGTGCATATAATCCAGACAGTCTGGGTGACGAGGCTAGGGGTAGGATGAGACGACCTTCAATCTTGTGCCCTACAAGAGTTCATTGTAACTCAGATGTTGCAGTGTGCAGACCAGTACAATTTAAAGTGCCCGTCAAGTCATCTGTCGGCATGATCTCGGCGAGTCTGCAGATGGCTGGGTGAAGTTATCTGATGTTACAGGTCGCAGGATCCTGTGACAGCCCAGTAACAGGGCTGCGATCGCGCAGGTGGGTGTCCTCGAACTTCCAAGTGGAATCAAGTAAGCCATCAGCCAAAAAAAAAAAAAACAAGAAAACTTTGAAAGAGAACCAACAAGAACAAGGACAGGATGACGAACTCGGACAACGAACAACGACTGGACTCATTCGATCTCACATCGGTCAGTATCTCCTTCTCTCTCTCTCTCTCAGCCATCGTGTCGCAAACAGAATATTAACCCCCCAACTCGGATATCACACTATACGTAGCGTTTAATCCCACAACTCGATCGCCATCTGGTCTTGCCCCTACTCGAATTGTTGAGTCCCTTCCATTAAATCCACCAAACCGCATCATCAGCAGCCTACTGAAACCGATTTCTGGACTCCAACCAGCCTCGATTCAAATGGAATCTATCCTCACCAGCAACTGCTTCAGGCGAAATATGACGCACTCAAGGAAACTAATATGATCACCTATCTTACTGGCCTCCATCGTGAACTCCACAACTTGGATGACCAGGCTCCAGTCCCTCAAGGTACTACCACCCGATCAATTAAACTATTCATCAGCTCACCAAAAAAAAAAAAAGAAATCGAAAGTCGACTAACCCCCTTTCTCCCTTTCCTAGAATTCTCTCAGAAGGAGGAACAAGTCATGAACAAGCTGGACACCCTGCAGGAATCGGTCGATCAAGTTGAGCGAAGCCTTACTTCCCACTTCAATCAAGACACTGATCATCCAACTCTCTCTATGGCCTATCATCCAGATCATGTCAGTCATCTCCGCACCCGAAGTAGTCGCTGCCCTACGACAGGATAAAGCCCAAAACTTGGCCTATCTCGAAAAAGAGCATAATGTTAGCCTATCCCAGATCGCGGTCCTATACCAATACGGACATTACAACTACACCATCGGGAACTATGGGGGCTCCTCCGATTACCTATATCACTTCCGAGTCCTCTCCACCGATAACGAACTCGTACTCTCCTCACTATGGGGTAAACTGGCCTCGGATATCTTGGAAGGTTCCTTCGATGCCGCCTTGGAAGAGCTCAACCGCTTGAAGGAGCAACTCGATCAGCGCACTGGTTATGGGAACCCACTCCAATCGCTCCAACAGCGAACCTGGTGGTTACACTGGAGTCTGTTCGTCTACTTCAACCACGATAAGGGACGGAGCTCGTTGGTCGATGCATGGCTCGGCCAGGGCTACCTAAACACCATCCAAACTAGCTGTCCCTACCTCCTAAGATATCTCGTCGTCGCACTCGTCGTCTCCAAGCGAGCCGGCTCTGGATCGCTCAAAGGCCCAAGCTCCTCTCGCGGCTCACGAGAGACCATCAAGGAGGTCTTACGGGCAGTAAGCCAGGAGTCCTACCAATACTCGGACCCGATCACCGACTTCCTCCTCAACCTGTATGTCAAAGTTGACTTCGAGGGCGCACAGAAGGCACTTAAACAGTCCGAGAAGGTCTTCAACGTCGACTTCTTCCTGTCTGAGGAGATGAACCCCTGGGTAGAGAACTGTCGGATCATGATTTCGGAGACCTATTGTCGCGTACACCATCGGATCGATATCGCTGACCTCGCCAGTCGCTTGGGACTCAACGAAAACTCTGACGGTCAACAAGAAGAGGGCGAGAAGTGGATCGTAAACCTCGTGCGAGATGCCCGTTTGGACGCCAAGATCGACTTCAAAGAGGTGCATATGCTGCATGTTCATCTGCACCATGTTATCCTTCCCAACTGACTTGTTTGTTCATGCAAAAAACAGAATACGGTCCAGATGAACCATCCCGCATCCTCGGTTTACCAAACAGTCATAGAACGGTTAGTGTTGTGCTTTCACAATCCAATCACAACTCAAAAAAACAAAAAAAACAATCAGCAATTGATGAAAGGAAATGTTAATAATTGATTTTGTGTAACTTCTAGTGCGAAGCGGATCACAGCAATCTCGCAAGATCAGACCTACAAGCTAGGTGCGCTAGCATTGGCCCAGCAAGATGGGCAATCGACTGAGGGAGCTGCGGGTCAGGCTAATGGCGGACGCGGAGGTGGAAGAGGCGGACGAGGCGGAGGGAGAGGCAGGGGAAGAGCTACAATTGCTGAAATGGATGATTAATCTTCTCTTTCTCTCTCTCTCAAATTCTTAGATTTGTTTTTCTCTCTCTCTCTTTATATGAAAACAACTTCTTGAAAGTTTTCTCTCCTTTTGCAAATATATTCAACCAAAAAAAGAAAGAAGAAGACCTGCTGCTTAGTTACTATCTTATCTCAATTCGCAGTTGTTCAAAACTGAAGGCAGTTTGGTGTTGTTGTTGTGCGATTTCATGAGAGAATGATATTTGTTGCTTGTGTGACTTGATGCTCTGTTCATTGTCCCCATCTCACCCAGTCAAAACCCAAAGCAGATAGAAGAGATTACATAGCACATATACTGCTGTATAAAAGAGCAAGGAATCCTTTTTTGTCACAGCACATGAGTCTAACCAAATCTAATCTTGAGCAGGTCCATGTCAAATCAACAAGTGTCACAGTCAAGCTACATAGAAATTATGCTTCCATGGGGGCGGATTGGATACTCCATGTTCAGCTCAGTTCAACTAGGGAAGATCATCTGCCAAGAAAAAAACACTGACAATTACATAACCACATCAAAGGGTTGAAAATTGGATTTTGCACTCCTTTCAACCCTTGCACTACCAGCAATGTAATTGGCTGGGTTGAAGTTATCCCAGTTGAAATGGGATGCACTCAACCAATTTCAAGTTGACTAATCTCAAGACTCAACCAATGAAATATAAATCCAAGGTGCCTTTGGTTTATGTTTGATTGGTTGAACTTGGAATCAAACCAATTATGTAAGATTGTTTGAGTCCATCCCAGTTGAACTGAGATACCTGCAAGCTGGGCAATTATGCTTGCAGTGTTACTTAGCTCCAAATTTTAGCTTGAAAGATGTGCTTCTCCATGGGCCTTATCAGTGGAAGTGTCCAGGTGGAGCAATACCAGTCCAACCAGAAGCTCCTCCATCCCTTTTGTAGCAAAAGGCTGAACTGGCAACATCCTGTAAGCCAAAATATGACTACAGCTATCTTTCTGGTGCATCCAAAATCTCAACAGATTCACCAATCCAATACATACAACTTTCAATCCAAAAACTCCACAGGAGTGTAGTACTTCTCCCTTGGACTTACATGACTGGATTAGACCAAGAGGAACCAACCCATACTCCCCTAATCCCTTCATAAAAATCCAATTGGATCAGTCCAAGAGGACAGAACATTCTCCTTTGGTTGTGGATGGTGTGCTCTGAGTACTGGCTCCAAGGGGAATGATTGTTGAGCAGATTGTTGATGTTTGGAATCAGGATCCAGGTTGGAGTGATGCAATTGATAGATGGAGGTGAGAGGTGTTTGTTGTACAGTGGCTAGACAGTCAAAAGTGGCTGCTTATTTTGGATCCCAGAGCTTCCAAACACAAACTTGAAGTCATGAGACTTGGTCAGACTCAGGTGGTGCATAATAGGTCCCAAGAAATGAATACAAAAAAATAAAAACAAGAAACTAAGTTTCAAAATTGGTGAAAAATAAAAGATAAAATCTATTTTTTTTCCAAAAGCTTTATTCTTACTTTTGGGGGAGTGAGAGTGCTGAGAGAAAGAAAGATTGGGAAATGAGAAGAATGATTATAAATGAAAATTTTGGAAAAAAAAGTAGTTTCCAGATGGCTTCAAACAGCTGTTGAGTGGGGCATTCATCAGCCCACATTGCAGTAAAGCACTACAATTTACTGTTTTGGCTCAAATCTGGACAACCAATGTGGCTCAACCTTTTTTGGTTCCAATTTGTTTTCATTCATAATCATTCTTACCATGTTCCATTCTTTCTTTCTCTCAGCACTCACACTTGCCCAAAATGAATATCAAAGATTTTGAAAAAAAAAGAAAATCAACTTTATTTTTTATTTATCACAAATTTTGAAACTTTATTTTTCACTTTTTTTGTTTTGCATTCATTTTTTGGGACCTATTATACACCACCTGACCAAGACTCATAACTTCAAGTTTGTGTTTAGAAGCTCTGGGAACCCAAAATAAGCAGCCACTTTTCACTGTCTACCCATTGTACACAATTGTCATCTACAAGTTCAACTTTCCAAAAGCTTTGTTTTGTAAAGCCATAAAAATGCAGAAAACCAATCAGGGATTCGGGATTTTTTATCATCTTCTAGGAATTCCACACCAATGGATCAATTGAAACATTGAGGTGGTTCGACGGTAATCAATGAGTGTAAAATCTGTAAAAAACAATCCAGGATCCTCCAGTGCCACCTTGACCAAGTCTTGCACCACAATTAGGTGTGATTTTGTCCAGTCAAACCCATACCCTTGAAAATTTCAAACATGTTCTCAGCTATGATTTTGGTAAATATGTACACATCAAATGATCAAGATAAACTGTGGCATTGATTTCATGTATGTACTACTAGTACATGCCCCCATTTTTGGGGAGTCTTGGTTGGTAATTTTATTTGCCCCAATTTTTTTTAATTGGGTGTTTACTTGATGACCTGTATTGGGTCTTTCTTGAGTTGCATACCTGTCTGTCTTGGTCTAACACCGGCGTCAACAAAAGCGACTAATGTGAATTGGAGGTTGACGTTAACACAAGTCCCCCTGGTGGGAGGCTCGCTGGTGTAACTGGCTGGGCGCGAAGCGCCCCCTCCCGCAGGGAGGGACTTGAAACTTAAAACACATTTGCGGTGTGACCCAGAAGCACCGTTTTGGTGGGAGCAACCTTCCTTGCCCCACCACTCATTCATTATAATGCCATTTTTTTCTCAATTCTAGTAGATGAAAGATCTACATAATCTTGATTTTCCTATATTTTTTTTATTTTGAAAAGGTGTGTGATTCTATTTGAAAATAGGCAATGAAGTTCATGATTTTGAACTTTAATTTGCAAATTTGGCAGAGAGGCTCGAGCGCAATCTCAGTATAAGCATATTTGATGCCTGCAAAATGAGAATTTGTCTTTTTTCTGTTTGTTCTTTTAAAAAAGATTGGTATGGAAATAAAAATATGAAAAAATACAGAAAGATCAAGAAGATGTCATAGAACAAGAAAAAAAGCACAATGAAATTTTGAGAACAGTAACATCAAAAACAGAGTGGAAAATACAAAAAAGAACCTCAAAATCATGCCTGCCTCACGAGGGCTTTGAGTAATAATATGTAAGCCTCTGACGAGACTGGGCTGCCGCCCAGACCTGCCCGCACACGACTCTCGTCACGAGAGGCTTAGTTAAGCTCGAGGTTGACGCCGGTGTTAGCTTGCATGGCACTTTGTTTGGCTCTCTGAGCCTGTTCTTTTAGTTATATGTAGATGTAAACTGGGGGGGGAATTGAGCAACCACCCAAGTCAAATGATGCATTGCACAAGTCATGCTCAGGCTTATTGAATACACATGGGTCATGGATTGAGCACCAACCTTTCACCTAGCCCAAATACTTATGCAGTTGATCTAGCGAGTATACTCGGGTCAATTTTGGAAAGCCAGAAGCACCAATGACTGAATCTTCACTGAACAAGGGTTACCCCGAGCAACAAAGTGTCTGCTGGCGGCTAACAATCAATCAAAATCAGGCTTTGAAGATTCATGGCACGTCGTTTGAGATCCAGATTCTGTCAAGTTGATGGTAAGGCCGGACCGTCGGTACCACAAACCCAAGAGCTGCGGGCAGCTGGAGGCTAACAAGGCGTGTTGGGCTACTCTTGAATGAGACTGGTGGTGCAGTGCGTAGGAAGAGTAAAGGAACGTTCATGGGTCATGTGACTGATATTATTGCTCGCTCGGACAAGAAAACTAAACGCCGTAACAGTGATCCATGAATACATGACAAGCAGTTTAGTAAAAAGTTGAGGGTCTTGTGGCAAGGAATTTGCTTCGGTACTTGACGACGCGGTGAGGCAATGGGAATCGAAGCTTGGGAACAAGGAGTTGCTTGATGTTGGGACGTCGGACATCAGAGGCCTTCTCGATCTCGGCAATTCGGAGAATCTAGGATGAAATCAAGTTCAAAGGTTTAACAAGTTTAGCGGTTGGTAGATAAATAGGTAAACTTTGCAGGCGATTAAGATCTAGATGGTGACTGACCTGGATGGAGCGGAATCGAGCACGGTGACGGGAGGCCATGTCTTGGTAGCAGGCCTGGGCAGCATCAACTCGGGATAGCTCTCGGAATTCCTTGTACATGTTGTGGGTGCCAGAGCGGGAGTCGTATCGCAGCCAGATGCCAAAGTTTTTGACTTTGAGAGGTTTCTTTTCGTGAATCTAAATACAGTAGCGTCAAGCGAAGTAAGATCAATACAGTGACATCATTTGTTGAGCACGGTGTCTCAGCGGTATTGAGTGGGAAAACATACCA